CTGGGGAATGGGGGGGGGGGGGGGGAGGCTAAAGAGGCACTCCCAACTCATATTTGCCTTTCCTTCTATAATTGTTTTGTATGCAGTTTCTGCTAATATACCAATAAAATCCAGACAAATATTTTCTACTCATTGAAGCCACATCTCACTATTAAGTGCTATGAATCAGTGAGCAGAAGAAAAAAAACGGTGATTAGTTTCCAGCCTGCTAGTACCAGTGCCATCTGTCTCATGATTATTGACATGCTTTCCAGTGTCTTTGTGTTCAGCTTGGGAGATATTTGTTGTCTGTAGCAGAGCAAAATGAGTAATTCTGATTGTTTTTAGTCTCTGCCAGTACACTGATAAGAATTTAATGCCAAAGGCTGAGTAGACTCATACAAAAAGAAAACGAGAGAGAGAAATTTGCCTGCATTCTATGTTTTTTACCATTATTGTCTTCTGGAATTAGTTTTTTTTTACATTGCGAACATTATTAAAAATAAAATAATAACTAGAATAGTGAGAGGGGGCTTTTTTGTTCAAAGATCATATTAGAAATCTCATAAGTGAGTTACACAGTTTAAATCTTTGTCTCTCTCAGTGAAGTCTACAGTGTCTGAAACTTTCAATATTCACTCTGCAATTATTTTTTGTACTCTGTGACTTCCAGCTCCTTTGGATTTTAATGAAATCCTTTATCCCTGAGTGCAGTTATAAATATTGTTTATTAATGGAAATAATAATGCCTCTATCAGAATGATGAATTACTCTCATCAAAGTATGTCACACCTGCGGTGATGACTGAAATATATACACATGGAATAAATGACCTGTATTTAACTGTTACAGAATGGATGCAGTGAATAACTTCATAATATTGCTGCCTTTTATTTCCTTGTTATTAAGCAATACAGGTTTGTCCCAGTTTTTCAATGGACTTTAGATATATAAATGGATTGTAGATACAGTTTTTCTCAGTTTTCATGCAGTATTATTGACTTTGTGCTAATGGCAGTGGTGTGAGAAAAATGCTAGTATTACAAAACTCGGCGTTCATTGAACTCTGAATAGGGTACATCGCTGCCCTGAGGCAGAATATTTCATTTAGGCTGTGATTCACCTGCATATCTTAGGGATCTGTAATGGATTTTTTTTTAACCATAAAGCTTAACTTGTATAGCAGACATATAGTATAGAAGGTGAATCTACTGACATAAGATGGTTTAATTCGAGGCAGACTTCTGGAATACCTTTGAAGAAAGCAACTTAAGCAGTCTAATGTACCACAGAAAATAGAGGGATTTCAAGAAAAGAAAATTTTTAATAAAGAGGGAATGGAGATTGTGGGAGACTAGGGGATGGATAACAGACGCATGCATATGCGCACACACTCACACACATACACATGTGCACACACACACACACACACACACACACACACACACACACACAGAGCAAAGAAGAATAGAGAAAGAAACTTAAAGACCCTAACCTACCAGAATGAAGTAAACAGAGCTAACAAGTGTCAGGTTTCAAAATAAAAGCCCAATTTAGGAATTGTTTTCTCTCTATGTCCCACAGCCAACTTAAACCATGATCAGCTGTTTATTCTTTCATTGAATTACACTTGGTCACGAAATTTCTATTGTGTCTCAACTCATAGTCAAATATTAGTTTTGCACAATAACGATTAGGTGCTAAGTCAATATTGAGATGTGAGTCAAATAACTTGGACAAAACACATGGAAATCAGTATACTCGTATGGAATTTTATTGAATTGAAACGCAAAAGATGTCATTGATTTTTTTTTGTGTGCTAAGCTGGCACTCAACATTGAGATGCTGTGACATTGTGGTCATAGCATCTAGTAGTGTGGATATAATAGCAGTACGTGATAGCATGTGATGCAGTTATTGCTGAGTACTAAAGCATATAAGCTACTACAATTGGGCAGCATAATATAGGAGAGTTCATACCATTTCAATTTTTTTATTGGAGAGAGTGTGTGTGTATTTGTTTGTGTGTGTGCGTGTGTGTTTGTGTCTTAAGCAACCCAGTTATATTGTGCACCCATGATCTCTTAACATGCAAGTGCCCATAGCACGCATGCTTACATATATGTATGAAAAACATATACACATAGAAACAATTGCGCACACACAAACACACACACACACACACACACACTTTAAAGTCTACTCTGTACTTAACATGTTATTATTTAGAAAGCCAATGACAGGCATGAATACTATTTATGAATATATTTACTTGGTATATAGCTATTATTATAATCAAAGTCTTGTTCCGTGTGCTGAAAGTAGGTGTGTCATGCGAGATGCCATATGTGTCAGTAAAACAACCACAGGTCTCCACAGCCCCTCTGTTAATAACAATGGAATGAGTAGAGTATGCCCTCGTTTTGGGACATTTCCTTGATTTTATAAACAAAAAAACACCAAGAATGTGTTTTAACTGTTATTAGAAACATTTTTTATCCAGGCAATATTGTGGTGTCGTCCTCCATTATCTGTGCAGACATTAGTTTTTATCACAGTCAGACAATGGATGCTTTCATGTCTGATGTCAATGGTCTAATGCTAATGGGAGATGTTGAGTGGGGGGGGGGGGGGGGGTCCCTGAGTACGGTATTTATTTACAAATTTCAAACATTCTGTTCTACACATGTGGATTGTATTTTTCGAAAGCTTTTCTTTGAAACATCTTTTTGATATATATCCAAATTGCTTTTCACAGCTTTAAGGCAATCAATTCATTCACCATATATTGCTTCCAAATCATTGCTTTTGAAAATTTAATTCGTCAGTTTTGTTCAAATTAAATGAGTAATTACCGTATCAGCACTTGTTTCTATTTCTGTTACTAGTCAAAGCAGGAACTAAACATTCTGATCTTCATTGCATGTAAACAATGTAGCCATTAAAAAGAAACTGGAGGCTGGTAATGTTATTTTGTTGTACAACAGTCAGAGAAATATATAGCAAACAGTTTGTTTTTAAAGCCTCATGTACCTCATGAGATCATACCCTTAGGTTAAGTGGGGCAAACATACTGTTATTCAAATGTAATTTGCTCTCGAAGATGTTCAAGTGCATTTTGCTAAGGTTTCTGCTAAATTAATTCTCAGCAATTTTCATTCAGGAGCACGAGATTGAATCCTAATTTGCCTTGAAGAAGTAGTAAAAAAGAGCAACTGGTAACTGAGCCTCCCCCCTATCCCCCCCCCCCCCCCACACACACACACACACACAGACTAGATTTTATCTCTGAGCTACTTAAACAAATTTCACAAATGGACTTCAGAGTTCTATTTATGTATAGTGTTTCTGTTGATAAAAAATAAGTGTGAATACTCTTGTATATAATTATTACTTCCTGAAGAAGTCCTTTTAAGTGCTTGCTAGTACTAAATATAGCATACATAGCATGTTCTTGAAAGGAACACATTTGATTAGAGATAGTGTGAGGGCTGTATTGCATTAAGGGGGCAATGGGTTTTCAGCTTTTTAAAAAAAGGACCTAAGCAGTGCAGTCAGACTGAGAATTAAACTGGCTAACATCTAGATGACTTCGCCTCAATCTTTAAGCCTGATTTTATTGGAGATCATTTACCCATCCAAGCAGATTTTCTTCTCATGATTAGCCATCTAGAATGAAACGGATTGCTGAAATGGATTCGTGTAAATAATGTCGACCCATCTTAAGTGAAAATTGGCCTTGAACCAAACCATTTTATGTCTGAACACACATACTAGTACATACTGAGAAAAGTTCATTTGCTGTTAGTGCTATTTACGCAGAAGTAGCTGACTCACATTTTCTCCCTCAGCTACTGAGCCAATGTCAACAATTGATTTTATTGCCGCTGTGCAATATTGAAATAAGAGTACAGTGTAAAATTGACTGTATTCGTGGTAGTAATCAAGTCAATAACATCAGGGACCATTGTAATAGCTCTTTTATAGGATTTTCTCATGTGTAATTTATTCATTGGGCTATTTATTTTACTAACTTATTTTTGTACCCAGAGTAGTAGGCTAGTATTTATTATATTGTGACACGCTTTTCTCAGTAACATCTCACTGACAGTGGTGACCTGAACTGACTTTAAGTCATCCTACTAATTGGGCTGTAGGTGTTATTTTGAATGCCTGACTTAGTTTTGCCCTATGAACAATAAGTCAGTTTTGTCGTGTAAAAAAGACTGAACAAATGTAGTGCATTGGAATAAAAATCAATTTTGGATCATGCTCGATCAGCTTCACTTCACTTTAAGCATTATCATTTCCATGTGCTCTGAGAAGCTCAAATTGAATTGTCAAGGGCTGTCTTGTCATGGGAATTGATTCCTAGAAACTTTTTTTAATGAGAAGCACTGTTGAATCAAGAGGCCATGACTGTTCCTCTTGGTACCATCAACACTGGCAAGGTGTTGAGAAGAGCTGCTGGCTCTCTGGCCCAAGGCCAGTGACATTCCATTAGGATCAGTGAAGTTGGAATCCAACTGGCCTAAAGCAGTAGCAGTAGTGTATAAGATCTTCTCTAGGTGGCAACTGCTGGATACAGTCAGCCTTGGGGTCAGATTGAGTGTTTGCTTGTGGGAGGTTGTTATTGCAAAATTGGGTGTGGTGGTTTCTGTGCAGAAATGATAGTTGATATAATAACAGACGAAAGATTGGTCAAGAAGTCAAAATAAGCTTTGGATTTTTCTGGCTTTTAAGTTAAAAGTGGTGAAGTTTTTTTAACCTGTATAGCTACCAAAGAATGAATGAAAGAATGAATGAATGAATAAAAATAGTTGAAGGAATAAAATAAAAAATGAAGTAAAATAAGTAGATATAAAAATATTTTTCATAAAAAAATTTAAAAAATAATGTTAGTTTATTTTAAGTGTGGCCAGTTAGTCTTGAAACCTCATATAAGTACTAAGAAAAAAAAAGAAAATAAAAGTATGAGTAATAAAAGTATCTTTGCCTACAATTTTTTCTTGTCTTTCCAGTTTTACCTCCAAGACACCCGTAGCAGCAATGGCACCTTTGTCAACAGTCAACGCCTCAGTAAAGGATCAGAGGAGAGCGTCCCCTGGGAGATCAGTTCAGGGGATATTATACAGTTTGGAGTGGATGTCATGGAAAACTCCAGAAGAGGTAGAGAGAGAGAGAGAGAGAGAGAGAGAGAGAGAGAGTGTGTGTGTGGCTAGGGTAGGGGATAAGTTCTCTTACTATGAAACTGTAGTTAAAAGTTCACAAGATAAGAATTCATGGATGATTAGACAAGAATTAATGTAGAATTAGATCGTTGAGGTAGAACTATTAAGACTTGTAAACACTGGGGTATATGGATGCTGTGGTAGTTGTGACATGTATGTTATAGTGTCATTGTTAACAGACTGTCACAATTATCACACTGTCACAACTAACACGCATTCACAACTCAAAAGAAATCACTGTTTATGTTGCTTCACACTAACCCTTGTAAAGGAACTCCAAGCTTATATTGTTGTTTAATTAAAAAGAAAAAAGCCTTTAGGCCCTTAAGGGTAAAGTTATAGTGATAGCACAATCTTTTTTTCATGTGTTGTATAATGTTGTCTTTGTTTATTTCAGTTACTCATGGTTGTATAATCACCTGTGTCACATTGTTCCATCCAGATGGGACTGAAGCCAAGGCAGAGTGAGTACAACTTGCTGTATTTAAAGATTAAAATTCAATAATGTTTTTATCCTATTGTTATTAGGCTTCAGTGGAAGCCAACGTAATATACTGTACCGAGAAACAGGGGTGAATGTACAAAAAATATCTTTAATTTGTCTCTGGCCACTGAAGACAGAAAGACAGACACAGATAAGATGCGAAGTGGATGCATTTTCAAAGATTATCAGACAGACAAGTTGCTAGAGTTACAGACAGACAAGCAGGCAAACAAATACAGACGGGCAGACAGACATAAGCAGACACAGTAGTCAGATGCCTTAAACGCCGTTAAATTTCCTGTCATTACGTAAAGCACATAGCTAAAATCAGACTGTAGCCCACTTTGGTCCAGAGATTTCCACCAGTATATAAAGAACTGCTGTACCAACTAATTATCCCCAGCAGAGGTTCAACAGCCGAGGCTTTCACTCCATTTCCAAGCACACATTTATTACTCCTAGTTATACCAGTGTTTTACCTTCAGGCCAGGTAATGTCTTGAAATAGGCAATTTGTTCAACCTGAAGTGTATATTAGAGTGGGCAGGTAACTGCTTTGAAGACTAATAAGATCAAAGAAGTACCTGTCTACACGTGGTGGTGGCGGGGATGTTTTATTGATAGAAGGTGGGAGGTGCCGCTGCTCCTGTGCCACTGGTAGAAACTAAAAAGAATTCTTTAAAAAGTTGCTTAAAATGCTGATAGGAGAAAGCAATAAAATTGCATATATATAATTCATTAAAATTGTTTAAATTCAGAAGAGAGATTAAAAGAGGAATGCTGTAAGAATTTTTAATGCCAAAGTCTTTTTTGAAGTAAAGTGGATAAGAATTTTACATTAAAAATAACGTGTAATTTCTCTTGCAAATTTTTGTTGAGTCGTTTGTGTGTATAGTAATGGACAATTGAATCAGTGGCTATAGATTTGTGCTATGTACCAGTTATGTTTTTATTCCAAAAAAAATCTGGCAATTTGCAAACAAATCACTTATGACAACTGCTCAAAAATTTCAGAACCACCTACGCCATATTTTCATTTGTATGCAATATCATCATTTCTGTTAATTAACTAAAACAATAGCTTTCAGACTTAATCTAGGCTCTTTTAGTATTTCCTAATCAAAATGTTATGAATTACAGACAAAACATATTTTTAGGAATATTGCTCATTAGTTTTGTTCAAATTTAGCGAGAAACAACTGGATTTCATTTGATTAATAGCCACACAAGTGCTTTAAGTGCGTGACTCACTATTTAGTTATCGCGAAAAGTGCTTTAAAGGAGTGCACTAAAAAAAGTAACACCTACTTAATATTACCTTGAATGTGATTTGAGTGCTTCAAGATTTCAAGAGTTTTCTTTGGGGCTGCCATAAAGCACTCTCCTCATCTCTGAGTTGGTATTAAATAGGATGTTGATTTTTCATTTATCCCATAGCCCATTGTCCGCAAATTACCCATCAACATGTGCAGTTTTAATTATTATTAAAAAGAGTTTAGAGGTAATGATTTAGTATATCATATACTAGTAGTCATACCCACTAGTACTCAGGTGTATATTTGGAAGGAAATGAGGTGTTATATAATGGCAGATGTTTGTAAAGTGTAAATATCTCAACAGAATATTGAAATGTGGATGATTTCCTGGATTTCAGCTCCTCACTCCCCACCTCAGGGACTAGCTTAGGCAGCCAAGTTCATTCTCAGGAGCTTTATCAACTGTCGCAGTATCTACAGGTATGTCATTTTTCAAGTATCACATGAAACGCACGCATGCATGCATGCGCGTGCACACACACACACACACACACACACACACACGTGCCAAACTGACTCCATTACCTGTATATACCGAGTTATGTATCTTAACACACAATGTACTTGGTATTGGAGTCACTCTGGTACGATATCGTTGTAAGGGAATGCCTCATGTTTCACAGAATCATATTGAAATGTATGAAAACTGGTGAAATGTTTCAAATTGCCCTTTGCCAATTTCAATTTTTCTGCAAGTGAATTTCCTAAAGCATTTGGCCAAAGTTTTCTATTTAAGGTGTAAGCCTAGAGGTAGGTTTAGAATATTGGAAGGGATGGTTGAAGAGTTATGTTGTATTTAACCTTTTAAGTTTTTTTAATAGCCTGTACTAATGTCTTAAAGGGATGTGACTTCACTTTCAAGTTGAACCTGCTGAAAATTGTAATTTTCTTGATGTGTAAATTCAAAGGGTGCATAGAGCAACTGACTTGGATTAAGTATGAAATACTGTACAGTAATTATTTTATAACAAAAATGTATAACAATGGCTTCTCCTTTATAGCCATAGTTGCTCTAGTGGACTTCTGAAGATTTATTTTGAAGTGATAAATTGTGTAACACTTTGATATGGAATATCTGTCTAGTTGCTTGATTTGTATCCAGTGCAGTTTTTAATTTGAAACTGGTCTGAATGCTACTAAAGCTGAGTTAGAGAAGTTTCCATACTGACTTCTACTACTACTGTCCTGCTACTACTGTTTGTCTAATGCCACTAGTGGCGTGAATCACAAAGTCCAAATTAACACACACATCTGTGTGTGTTTATATTAATATGTTGGTGCAACAAATTTAGAACCACTTTCGGATATTTACGGCTTCACCTGTCACTCTTACGTGTTATCTTACTCCATTTACAAACAGTGAACCCATTACTGCTTCTGTACAATTACGTATGGAAGGTGTCTGATATGTCTGAAGGTGAATTTACAGTCATTTTGTGATAGTTTAACTTAGTTCTGTACTTAGATAGTGTGGAAACAAATTGAGATGTCTCAGCTAGAGTGTGAATGCACGAGTGAAAGAGCAATGCATCTATTTATAGATTTTAATTTGTGGCACCAAGTAATGGAACGCCCTTTTTTCTGAATCATAAGGGTTCTAAATCTGAAAGCAACTAACTCTTACTGTGAATCTAAGGGCGTTTATTCTTCAGTTTATATTGATATTTATGGGAATTGTTCCCCTCTTAAGGACTTCCTCTTTTCACACTAAACTTCAGAAAAATAAGTTTACACTTCACCAAGGAATAAGGACTCTTTTTACTTCTTTAGTGGGGAGCTGTACCATTGAGAGTTTTTTCATATATATATCAGTTTTCACTGCTATAGTTAGTTTGCCAGTAATTATTTTCTGCCAGTTTGTATGTGATTTGGGGACACCTGGTTTGCTTAACCAACCAAGCAAGCAAAGAAAAATTACATGCTTTGATTTATGACTCTATAATCCTCTTATAGTAAGTGTCCTCCATACATGCTACTTTGTCATTATTGAATTAATTGATTTATATGTTATTAGTACCACCAGCGTGTACGCTGGCGGTACTCATGGTTTTAGTCTCGACCCGTCTCGTACGGCTCCGTAAGCTCCGCCGGCTCCGCCGGCTCCGCCGGCTCCGCCGGCTCCG